TCTGAGTCCAGGCTTGAGATGCAGAGGGAGGACGCCAGAAGAACCCTTCCACAGTATGGGCAATCGGGAAATGACAATCGGCCTCATACCTCTAACAGCACTCAAGACCTCCGTCTTCACTTCCTATTATTGCTCCGACATCGACTTTCACCTCTAAACTTCCTTTTTCGGCTTCCCCCTCAAGTGTCACCATAACCAACGATTCTAGTGCTCAAAACACTCCGAGGTCTACTGGAACCTCGCTCCAAACTACACATTGGAGCCTTCAACGTACGCACACTGTCAAATCGGTCAGCAGGCCTCCTTGGCTAGAACACTGGTAACTCGTGCCATTGATGTATACTGTGTCTCCGAGACACGTCGTTGCCTTTTTGTCGTTTCTGCGATTCTCTCCCTCGAAATGCAAAATGTTGCTTCAGGATTGGGTTGCATCGACACCCGAAACAATGATAGGGAGTGAAGTAGTTGAGTTTGTCGACCGCTTCACTTATCTTGGAAGTCTCATCAGCCCTTGTGGTCTGGTGTGTGACGAAATCTCAGCACGGAGACAGAAGGCTCGACTAGCTTTTGCCAACTTGCGTCATTTATGGCGTAGGCGAGATATCCGTCTATCAACCAAAGGACGTGTTTACTGCGCAGCAGTTCGTCCCGTCCTACTTTATAGCAGTGAAACATGTCCGGTAAGAGTAGAGGATATTCGTAGGTTACTAGTATTCGATCATAGGTGTCTTCGAAATATTGCTCGTATATCCTGGGACCATCGAGTAAGTAACACAGTTGTTAGGAAACGGGTACTAGGTAAGGATGGCAAATCAGTTGATGACGTAGTGAAAGTTCTTCAGTTGAGATGGCTGGGACACGTGTTACGTATGCCCAACGACCGACTGCCTCGACGTGCGATGTTTTATGGTGTAGGAGTAGGATGGAAGAAAGCTAGGGGCTGCCAGACCAAAACATGGCACAAGTCCATGAAGTCACTGACAAGTGCACAGAGTGATTCATGTTGGTAGGTGTAGACTAGCTGGTTGGGGACCGCGAGATGACAGCAACCGATGGTTAGAGACCCTGAATGACATGGCTCAAAATTGTTTGCAATGGCGCAGGTGCATACACTCTTTGTGTTCTCTCGAATTTGGATCTCCTTGTCTCTTTTTTTTCTCTTCCCAAATTTATTTCACTGTATTATACTCTTTAAATAACATCTCCAAACGTTAATCTTCCCGATTACTGCTTATACTCTTATTACCTCTACCACTACGGGATTTGAATCGACAACTGCATCTCTGTGCTAATGTGGTGTGGCAACTCGAACTGATGTATGTACGTACGAAGTTCTACGTTGTTACTGACTGACTGACTCACCAACTGCAGCTCAGATGAAATGAATTTTACAGAAAGCTATCTGAACTTCTTCAGAAAGCTAAACGTTCAGACATAGTACTCGTAGCAGGCGACTTTAATGCTCAGATAGGTAGTTTAAACCAAACAGAAAGGCATTTAGGTGGATATTTTAGCATTCCGGCACAGCGAACAGATAATGGTGATCGTCTGCTGCAACTGTGCTCAGACAATCTTTTATTTTTAGCAGACACAAATTTTAAGCATAAGGACAGACATCTCCTAACATGGCGACCCCCTACACCAAACCAACGATGGACTCAAATAGACCATATTGCAATCAGTCGTCGTTGGAGGGGGTCGGTAGAAGATTGTCGCTCATTCTGGAGTACCTGCTTAAACTCCGACCATGCCCTAATACGGGCACGCATCTGCTTGCGCCTCACTGGACGCGAAAAAGCCACATTAAAAAGACCCATTAGAACTGAATTGAGTAACGAGAAAACCAAAAGTAGGTTCCAGGAACAACTGAAGTCACAATTAGGTAGTTGTGAAGACGAGGTTGACCCAGATGTTGCTTGGAAAGCTATACCAACAGCTGTGGAAACAGCAATGAAATCTACTAGTGATTTAAACCACAGAGTTACAAAGAACCAGTGAATTTCTTCAAAGTCTATCACACTGATGGATTCTCGCAAACTCGTCCCATCAGGTTCCGAACATGATGAAGAGCGACAAATCAGATCCAGGTTAAGAAAAAGTCTAAGAAACGACCGTGAGCAGTGGTGGGCAACGAAAGCAAACGAGATGGAAAAGGCGGCGACTATAGTGAACACAAGACAGCTCTACAGACTAATAAAGGAAACTGGAATTAATAAGTCAGGTGTAAGTTAGACTATTTCGGAAAAAGACGACACTCTCATCTGCTCTCAGTCCAGACGTTTAGAACGATGGGCGGAACATTTCAGAGATCAGTTCAGCTGGCCTTCAGCTACTCTACAACTACCCTCCATTCCCAGACAGTGTGAATGGAACATTGAAGTAGGTCCCCCAACTCTAGCTGAAATTCAAAAGGCTGTAGCTAATCTGAAACGAGGAAGGGCAGCCGGTCCAGATGGATTGGCTCCGGAGGTCTTTAAGGGTGGTGGTCCAATTTTAGTGATTAGGTTGACTAATATTTTAGCTAAGATCTGGGAGTTAGACGTTATTCCATCTGACTGGTCACAATCACTTATCGTCTCAATATATATATATTTCAACCTATGAAATATAAGAGGGTTAAAATCATCCTGTGACACCATAGAGGGATTAGCTTAACTAATATAGTATCTAAAATACTAGCCTCGATAATTATCAGACGCCTAACTAAGACTCGTGAACTGCAAACACGAGAGAACCAAGCTGGCTTTAGACCTGGTCGTGGCTGCATCGACCACATATTCACCATTCGTCAGGTTCTAGAACACAGGCATGCTTATCGGCGTCCGACAATGGTGGTCTTTTTTGACTTAAAGGCAGCATTTGATTCGGTAGACCGCGAGATTCTGTGGCAGTGTCTATCATTGAAAGGCGTACCACAGAAGTACATAAACCTTGTGAAGGCTCTTTACTCGAACACTACCAGTCGAGTGAGAGCTTATGGCGAACTGTCATCTGCTTTTGCAACCTCAAGTGGTGTCCGTCAAGGCTGTCCACTTTCTCCATTTTTGTTTAACTTCATCATAGATCTACTGATGGAAATAACATTCTCGTCGAATGAGTTCTCGGGTATTGATCTCCATCCAGGAGGTCCACTTATCGACTTAGAATACACAGATAATATAGTCCTGTTTGGTGAAGACGCTGATAAAATGTTGAGTCTTTTGGTAGCACTAAGCAATAATGCCGGAATGTTTGGAATGCGCTTCTCTCCCTCGAAATGCAAGCTGCTGCTTCAGGACTGGCCTGCGTCAACACCTGAACTAAGGATATTGAGTGAAGTAGTCGAACGCGTTGACAACTTCACTTATCTTGGAAGTCTGATCAGCCCTAGTGGGTTGGTGTCTGACGAAATCTTAGCACGGATTCGAAAAGCTCGTTTGGCTTTTGCCAACTTACGTCACCTACGGCGAAGGCAAGATATCCGTCTATCAATAAAAGGACGAATATACTGCGTGGCAGTCCGTTCTGTTTTAATTTAAAGTAGCGAAACGTGGCCATTAAGAGTAGAAGACACTCGTAGGCTACTAGTATTTGACCACAGATGCCTTAGAAATATTGCTGGCATCTGCTGGGATCACCGGGTAAGTAATAGTGAGGAGAAATTTGAACACTTCACTTCTATCTGAAGTTTGTGCTGATGATGTCTTTCAGAAGAACGATGAAAGCTCCACGACCAAACCATCCAGCTCAGAGAACAAAACTCCACCAAAATCACCTACCTGAGCTACAAATCTTCCCCACCATCTCAAGATAAATATATGTGCCCGGTCCTACGTTGTGACTGACTGACTGTATCGTGTCTTTTGCTCGGCAGTTTACAGTCACAGCAAAAAATCAAAGGGGACTAGACATAAAACTTTGACAGAATTTCCTGCCGAAAAAGCGTATATATTACATAGAAAGAGCTATAAAGATAACAGGTTTTCAATATTGGTTTTAAAAGGGATTACAGCAAGAAACAACTTCCCACGTCAACACGAAATGACAACAGATATCTTTCGTAAAATCAAAAATCTAGAAGGTCTACACTCCCCATTACATTAGCTGTTCAGATTGTCCAGTCAGATCAATCCGCTGTTCCTGCACAATAGGGTAATCTTAAACTACAACCAATCAAATAGATTCACCGCTTCTATCCGGTCAAATGTATGTCTATAGTTGCCGACGCCTCGTTTGAGGGCTTGTAAGGTTCTTCGTAAGTCACCTTACTAGCTTGACCTATCATATTACGTCACGACGCACGAAAGCTTGCCTGTCACTTCATAGGACTAGTTAAGCTATGGCAGGTGTAATAATACGAATAACTCCCTGAAGCGTTTTGATGTTTGTGACTATAATCGCTTCCAGATTATTCAAAACTATAAGTAGACATTCAAGTCTTGAAAATGAGCTTTAATTTCCTTATAAAATCAAGGGGGTGTACAATTTGTGATATGTATGAATTGCCTTTTACTGTTAGACATCAATAGTACTTACAAGAAGATCATTGGCTTTACTTAAAAGTACTAGGAATACCAGGTGTTTGGTTCATTTCAAGGTCAAAAGCATGCGACTACATGTGTATTGTCAGTCAGCTGCAACGTAGGACCAGGCACATGTATACATCGGTCCAAATTGCCATATCACATTAACACAAAAAGATGAACACAGGATTCATAAAAGTAGTTCATTCAGTGCTGGTAATATATAAAAGAAAGATTGCATATAATGACATAATACAGGAAGAAAGAATTAGTTCGTAGAAAGAAAGATATGAAGTGATTTTAATCTCTTAGTTTAAGGGAAGACAGAGAGTGTATACACCGACGCCATTGTGATCGATTCTGAGCCATGTCACATGTGTATTGATAAACTAAAGTTAATGTTTCAACTTATTAACCGATGTATGCAATAATTTCAAATATTTTCTTTTGTTTTTACAGTTCCCTACATTCGATTTTTTTGAATTCAAATAGAATAAAATGTCTAATCATTCTGTTTGGCTACGTATAGTACCTTTCATTGGATCAATGATAATTTCAGCTTATTATTTAACATATATGCGTTATTGTATTCATGAAAAAAAGCGATTGACAACACAATTACCTAATTTAAATGAAGATTATATTCTTGAATTTCATAAAGAAATTACTGAATCCTTTAAAAAAACTAAATGGGAGAATAAAAGAGTCAATAGACCATGGGGAGAATGATTTAAATGAGACAATAATTAGAATGTATAAAATAAATAAATAGAAAACTAATTTTCTCTCTATTGTTGATCATGTAACATAAGTATCTGTGTATATAAAACAATTATCTTAGTGATAGTAATTTGTAAATAAGAAAAAAAACATTTAAATATAAAAAACAACAAAAAGGAATTTTCTCATTTAATTTATTTCATAAATTAATAATTTAATAATTTTCTTTTGACAAGCTAAACGAATAGATTGTATAATTTTTGATGATAATTCTAAATAAGATGAAGAATTTTTTAATGATTCTAATTTTGAAAAAAATGATTCCACACTAGTTTCTGTAATACGTTCAATTCCTTTTAAACTTATATCGGATGTATTATTGGATAAAGTGACCTAATAATAAATAAATAAATAAATAAATAATTATATATAAAAAAAAAATAAACATCATATATATCATTTTTTGTATATTATAATGAAAATAAATAAATAAATACAGAACTCATATGATGGATTACACTGCAAAATCGTGCATGGAGGACAGTTGACAAAGTCGTTCAAAGTGAAGACCGGTGTTAGACAAGGTTGCTTACTCTCACCCTTTCTCTTTCTCCTGGTGATCGACTGGATCATGTAGACGTCAACATCTGAAGGAAAGCACGGGATACAATGGACATCTAAGATGCAGTTGGATAATCTAGACTTCGCAGACGATCTGGCCCTTCTATCCCAAACGCAACAACAGATGCAGGAGAAGACGAACAGTGTTGCAGCAGCCTCAGCAGCAATAGGTCTCAATATACAGAAACGGAAAAGCAGGATTCTCCGATACAACACAGCATGCATTAATCCAATCACAATTGACGGAGAAGATTTGGAAGATGTAAAAACCTTTACGTATTTGGGCAGCATCATTGATGAACAGGGTGGATCTCATGAAGATGTGAAGGCGCGGATCGGAAAAGCAAGAGCAGTATATCTACAACTGAGGAACATCTGGAACTCAAAGCAACTGTCAACCAACACCAAGGTCAGGATTTTCAATACAAATGTCAAGACAGTTCTACTGTATGGGGCAGAAACCTGGAGAACTACAAAAGCCATCATCCAGAAAATACAGGTGTTTATTAACAATTGTCTACGCAAAATACTTCAGATCCATTGGCCGGACACTATTAGCAACAACGTACTGTGGGAGAGAACAAACCAGATCCCAGTGGAGGAAGAAATCAGGAAGAAGCGCTGGAAGTGGATAGGACACACATTGAGGAAAGCATCGAACTACATCACAAGGTAAGCCATCATCACATGGAATCCTGAAGGTCAAAGGAAAAGAGGAAGACCAAAGAACACATTACGCCGAGAACTGGAGATAGACATGAGAAAAATGAACAAGAATTGGATGGAACTAGAAAAGAAGGCACAGGACAGAGTGGGTTGGGGAATGCTGGTCAGCGGCCTATGCTCCATTGGGAGTAACAGGCGTAAGTAAGTAAGTAATGAAAATAAAATCTAATTTTTTTTAATAGTTAAATTGTTGTCAGGGTACCTATTTTATAGTTAGAAAGATTTAGATTTTTAACCATTAAGTTACAAGTTCAAACTCTGTTTCATATCACTTCAATTTGAACAGTAATTACTGATCTTCATCATAAATTAAAGAGTAGATCAAATTAGTGTATACAAATAGGTATTTAGTTATAAAGTTGTATCATGAACAAACTGTTGTCTATGATAATCGTAATTCATTTTTTATATGTGTTCATTCGTTTATGGTTACATGACAAATATTGTAGTAGTTTTCGCCACACCCTATGAACAACTTTCAACACTCCACACAACACAGCATAATCCTTGCACGAATGAAATCTTATAATGGAGAGGATATCTGATAGACTATAAAAATCCAAATGTCCATTTCATAATCATACTGATAATTTTCAGGATACTGTAGAACTCAATGTAGTGTTTCCTTAAGTTTAAGTATAACATAAGACATCTACAACAACCTCAAATAACAAGTGGAGAATTTTCCTTGACACTTAAGATACAATCTGAGATTAAGAGGTATTGACAAAGCTTAAACCAAAATAAACTAATGAGGCTCACTGCTCTCATCTCTTCCTGTTTAAGGACAGGAAGTAGTATTTCTTTATTTACAAAGATCTAGAGAGAAAATATGCTATATATATAATGTCAGTCAGTCAGTAACAACGTAGAACTTCGTACGTACATACATCAGTTCGAGTTGCCACACCACATTAGCACAGAGATGCAGTTGTCGATTCAAATCCTGTAGTGGTAGAGGTAATAAGAGTATAAGCAGTAATCGGGAAGATTAGTGTTTGGAGATGTTATTTAAAGAGTATAATACAGTGAAATAAATTTCGAAAGAGAAAAGAGCGGGTCTGGCCACCCCTAGCTTTCTTCCAACCTATTCCTGTACCATTGAACATCGCTAGTCGAGGCAGTCGGTCGTTGGGTATACGTAACACGTGTCCCAGCCATCTCAACTGATGAAGTTTCACTACGTCATCAACTGATTTGCTATCCTTACCTAGTACCCGTTTCCTAACAACTGTGTTACTTACTCGATGGTCCCAGGATATACGAGCAATATTTCGAAGACACCTATGATCGAATACTAGTAACCTACGAATATCCTCTACTCTTACCGGACATGTTTCACTGCTATAAAGTAGGACGGGACGAACTGCTGCGCAGTAAACACGTCCTTTGGTTGATAGACGGATATCTCGCCTACGCCATAAATGACGCAAGTTGGCGAAAGCTAGTCGAGCCTTCTGTCTCCGTGCTGAGATTTCGTCACACACCAGACCACAAGGGCTGATGAGACTTCCAAGATAAGTGAAGCGGTCGACAAACTCAACTACTTCACTCTCTATCACTAGTTCGGGTGTCGATGCAACCCAATCCTGAAGCAACATTTTGCATTTCGAGGGAGAGAATCGCATTCAGAAAAAATGTTTTTAACAGGAGCCACTGTTTATACTTAGAAACAGCAAGGTTATCAAATCAATAAGACGAAGTTAATGAGCGAATAACGTGCTTAGTTTATTCAGAGATATGCTTGAAGAAATATACACTGATCAGTTCAGGCGACGACTGACTTATCGTTCAATGGTCAGTCATCAACTTTTTTGTCCACCTAGTCCGATGAGTTGAATCCGATCTGCGAGATTTTCAATTTGGGGACTAATTTGGCTTTCATTCCATAATGAACAAGAAATATGAACCGTTTTGCTGTTGTTTACTTATTTGCTTGAGATTTGGGCCTGACTTCATTTTAGCGCTTAACCCCTCATGATGTTATACGAGTATCATGAGTGTTAGTTACTATCCGCGTTCGTAAAGACAGGCAATAATACTGGTGATCCAGTAACTTCTTTCTAGCACAGATTTCACCAGACAAAGAATCGATTGATACTATAAGTAGACACGACAAATCGCGAAGAGAAATCCTGTAAACTTGCTATTGTCGAAGCACAATTTGGTGATTTATTACTTATAATATATCATAACTAAGACAAAATAACACGGTGATATTAATGTTCTCTTCATACTATTTAGAGGATATTTTGTTTTTTTGTTGTATTTATCACGGATATGTCACACAATCAGATAATATCCAAAATCAATTTTGATAAGTTTCTCAGATACTAGATTTACTAACAGTGAATGTGTAGTGTAAACAGAAGTAAGATATAACACCACTTAATTAACTATACATACATATTACTGAAATTCTACTTTATTGAGTACACAAAACTATACTTGCTTTATACATTAAACTATCACATTTCATGAGCTTCAGTAAAATTAACTTACATCGCTTAAAGCAACTGTTAACTCTTTACATAGCTGTTTCAATAAATTTTCTTCATTGGTTAGTAATTCCTTCGTTGTATTAATTTGATTTTTTGTCCGATTTTCAGCATTTACAAGATTTTCCACATGCTTACTTAGTAGAGCGGTTTCTTCTTCAAGTTGTGATACCTGGAAAAAGTATGACAATAGTAGTGTAACTCATTTACTAAGAGTTTAATGTTCCATTGATTTATTCAAATCTCGTCACAATAAGGCACCAAAAAGGAATGCGTCACATAAACGAAGCGGTGATATTGTGAAGAAATAGAGGAAACTACGGAGGGTCCAAATATAGGAGTTGGAAGATTCTGATTCTAAACCAGTGGTCTATATGTGTTCCCTAATCCAAAAGGGAAGAAATGGCGTACCAACCTATTCTGGTCTTCGGCTACCATGGGGCTGAATTTTGTAGTAGTTCTTTGTGTCAAAAGCTCTGAAGCGATCCCATAAGGAAACTGCTTGGTTCAGTCTAGGCAATATTTCATACCATATACATGATTATGATGAAATTTCTCCTCCATTTGTCAAGTAGGGGTTTCGCATTTAGCCTTAAACGACAGTACTTGTGTGAAAGCTAGTAACCTCACCTTTCTGCACAAACTGATGAAGGTGGGGTGAGTTGGCACACTAATTAGTTGAATACTGAGTTATTTAACTAATAAGCCACTTACTCATAAAAAGTATACATGACCATTAGTACTGTGGTGTACGAGAGAATTATATATAACTTTAATACAGAGAGCTTGACGAATATTCTTCCAGTGGTTCCTAAACTAAAGGACGATTAATGTATACTGTGATGTTGTGGACAGAATTGTATTGGGTTCACATTATTTGTATGTGTGTATTTTGGACTTTCGCAGGCGTTCTTGGCGAATTCTCAAATCAGCGATTATAGACGTTGAGAACCAATGAAAGAGGTGGTAACACCTACATAAACAGCCAATTAAGCCAGAAGAAATCAGGGGTGCGGTTAATTTACGCATATTAAGACTTTCACAATGCGTCACCCCCATTTTTGTCATTATAATTTCCTATTAGCTTGTACAATATAAACAATAGATTTTTTGTTAGATATATTGCATCGTACATTGAATCCAGATGCTAATTACCAAATATTTAAACAATAAACAATACTAATCCCATAAAAATATACACAATAATCTTCTCAGAAGAATAGTCAGTGAAGAAATGGTCTTTCGGTTTGCAAATGTGTAAAGTGCGATTTTTGCAATGACAGCGGTTAAGACCTTCAACTGCTGAGTCGTAGGTTCAAACTAACTTAGAGCCAGTTAGCATCACCATAAACGTGTCGCTCAAAAACGAGTACCTAGGCTTGTAATCGGTAAGTAAATTTGCTCCCAGCACTAGTTAAAACGTTTTAAAGATTTTCGTCTTATTATTTTTTATATCTTATGCACTTCTGATAAACTATTTCTATGTTAAAGACTGATTTAGTGATTGAAGCGGTCGACCACTAAGTCACCCATCTTAATATAGAATATATATTAACTTCTATCATAATAGATATATCAAGACAATCCGCACAGAATTCACATATTCTAACCAAGACTGGTAAAATTCCAGTTAAAATATCAACGACGGGATAATTCAAAACATTTAAAAGTGGATTCATTTTTAAGATGTTTGTGCTTTTCCTAATTAGCTGTTACGAAAGGCAATGGTTATACATTGAAATGTAACTAACGTGTTTCTTCAATTGACGCAAGATAACTTCACGAAGTCTGTTGTATTCCAGAAATTCATGAGTAAATATTGAAATTTTGCAATCTGCTTCTATGTCATTGTTTTTAGTATGTGATATTTGTTTTACTGGTCGTTTACATCCAGCTTTGGGCCCGTTAGCATTGACCGTTTCATTGGAAGCTAACCATTTCTTGTAATTATCAGTAGTTTTGTATTCAGCAAACAATTTTTTGTATAACTCACGATCTTCGGCAGCTTGGTCAGTATATACTTGTTTCTCTTCAGCAGATAGAGCAGCCCATTCAGTAGCAATAATACGATTTCTATCTGAAAATGACTGCGAAGCAATATATTCTGATTCTTGTCTGCGCTTTTTCATGAACAACATAAATGCTGAAAGAGGTCGCCTTGGAGCATTTTTGTCGTACGGAGCTTTCTTCATAATAGTAGTCTAAAATCGAATACACAGTAAAAGATTTTCAGTAGAACGAATAAATTTCGAGATATTTGAGACTTGAAAATTTCTTCTTTATTGTCTGGGACTTACTAAATAATTGGTTGTCTGGGCCACATGAGGAACTATAGGGGTTATTAATTCTAATTTATGGAGAGGAGCAGCATAATTACCAGAAGACATCACGATGCACTCTTTACTTATTTATACAAAAAATTGGTATGAAGGGGTACCAATATATATATATATATATATATATATATATATATATATATGCGCGACACAATAAAAATGCGGTTATGAAGAGATAAAGAATGGAGGGTTAGTATAATAAAAAAAGAACAAACATGGATAGAAATTAGTGTATGAGAGTGGAACAACAATAATCACCAAAATACTAATAATGGGAGAAGTTCAGTTAAGAAAAAATACAACCAGAAAGGATTCTTTCAGTTAAAGCTCCTCTCGCTCGTACAAAGAAGATTACAGCAAGATTGCCACTGGCTTCCATTTCGAACCATATCTAATAATGTCCCAAGCAGGTGTTGCGTCATCTCTATGAGACCAACCAGGGATTAGTGAACGAACAACGGAAGCCACCAAAGTCCATGCTTCAAGATAGTGACACTAATTGAAATATCGCTGAGTTGTTGCATAGGTGACGTAAACCCATTCTTGCAAAGTCGCAAGAAACATTACTAATCATCTCCGTGGAACCATGCAATCGAAGCCAATGTCCATCATTATCTCTTGGTGGGTCGATAACTAGCCTTTAACCTAGCTCGGCTTGATATTTAGTTTCAACGGAAGCTGCAACCAATTTGCTGACATCGATCTGTTTAAAGCGATGAATTTGTTGGCTACTAAAACGCGACATAAGATTAGTGCAGGCAAGGACATGATCAAAGTTCAGATAATTACTCCGAAAAGAGAGGCATTTTTGTACACAACCATGCCAGCGGTAGCTGATCGCAATGTGTTTATTTTGAGTTGAAGCTTGAGATGCAGAGAGAGAGTACCAGGAAAAACATCGGCGATAGCTGTACCGATAGTTAATGTTAGCCGGAAACGGGTTGTAGTCTGCGCAAAGTTGCAGTGGACAGTCCCCGTTATCTAACCTATGACCAAAAATTCCCATCAGCCACATAAATGACTCTCGTCTGAGCATTCAAGTCTCCGGCTAGTACTGCAATATCTATCGAACGCACTTTTTGTAGAACAGTTAACTGGTGGCAAAAGAGCTTGGTCCCATTCGGACTGTAATCAATTAGAGCTTAGGTAGAGATGACAGCAGGATATCCTTCATCACACCGATTTCTTCTCAATTTGATGGAGCTTTCTAGTCTGAAATTACATAGTCGACTGTTAGTGGGGATCCAGTTGATTAGTGCTGCCTCAGTTCCATCGCTTAGTGTGACACTAACGCCAGCAAAACCAGAGAGATGCACATTTGGTTTCAGAAAAACTTGTTCATAATTCGTATTTATTGGTAGCATTTAATTTTCGACCAGTCAGTGACTTGAGATCGCTTAGAGAGGACAGGGTTTCAACCATAGGTGAGCTACTGTATAAGTTGAAAAGTGATACACGGAAAATGAGGATAAAGGGGAATACATAATTGGCGTAGTATAAAAGAAATGGAAGCGAATTTTATAGAATGATTGGTCTGAATGAGCGTTGAAGTAAAAGTAATTTTCCCAGTAGTAATTATCACTGGTTTGCGTGGACTAGGATACTACCCGAGTGCCCCAACCGAAGCGGGTGGTTTCTAAAGGGGCCACCTCCCGACCCTTTGTCCTTAGGGTGTAACCCACAAAGCAGTGGAGCGACGTTAGGAGATACTGTCCTATGGTAGCCGGTGACCAACAATAGGTTCATACGCCATTCATTCCCTTATGATCCTGTAGCCCATGTGGAGCATTGGTTTGGAATCTGGGTTTTCCTGCTCCCTTAGATGGATCCTTCATATCCATCAACCCGGTTAAAGCTCCGGATATTTGCTCTTCGTCCCCTCGATTTCGTAAACGACAACCCCACCGCAAGAGTGACGTTTTGGGAAGTGTCTATATACATGCGGCCATATGAAAGCATTTTCAGAGAGAGTGAAAGAGAGCGAACTCTTTCTACGCTCGGCTGTTTCAGAACATGGTAACATCTAAACATAATTAGTAAGATGGACATGACAATTGTATGCATCAAGTTCATCAACCTTTTGACCTATGTTTTGGTTCGCAATTGGTGTCACCATCTTGAAACACCGACTTCGGTGGCTTGGACATGTTCTACGAATGTCGTCCCAGAGAATTCCACGCCGTGCATTATTTGCCGACATGCCTGCTTCGGTTTGGACACCCGGGCAGTATCATAGCCCTCACACATATCGAATGGGATTTGTGTGGCGCATATGTATTTGGTGCCTCCTTGTACCAATGTCTATGTGTTAAAATAAATAAATAAATAAATAGTATATGACATGGTGTCGTGGTATGAAAGAAAGCTGCAAAGGGCTGGCCTGTGTCGGTCCTTCACGACTCCCTGGTTGGGGTCCGAGAGATGGTACAACACAGTGGCTAGAGACGTTATCAGATATGGCTCAGAATAGAAGCCAGTGACGATCATGCTGTAACATTCTTTTACTTTCTTCATAAAACGTGGTTGTATCTTCCTTAACTGAAAGATTTCTTCTGATTGTACCCTTTTGTTCCCATACTATTACTATTATTATTACACTACCTTACGCCAATCTCTTCGTTATTGTTTTTTTAAATATTTTTTTACGTCCCCCACTTTTTTCTTTTTTTTTCTTAAATTCTCATTGTTTTGTGTGGCGCATATATATTTGGCGCACTCCTGTACCTATATATATGTGTCCAAATAAATAAATAAATAATGATTCGCTATGGTAGCCTTATTAAAAAAATGTAGAAAGTTTTTAATACACTGACACACAAGGTCACATGTTACTTGTAGTCTGTTTATATTAGTGCATCGAACTATTAAGATGGTAACTGATTTGGAGATCAGGATAGTAACACATACATACATTCACAGTTTATACAAAACCCAGGTGTCAAAAATCCTGTGATTATATAATTTTCCTAGCTCGATTTGTAATTTCTACGTAACATAATCACATATATAAGCGAATATTGTTTTCGATTAGATCCGAATCAGGCTTTACTCTAATATACAGTAATGTATTTCTATGCATATAGAAAATTATTAAGCCAATCAGGGAAGTTTATGATTCAGTGGTGATAGCAGTGGAACAGATTACATAAATAAGTGAAAAGTATAAATTGATAGTGTGATGAAAGGTGTACTAGTTGCGATAAGCAATAATGAAGGCTTGAATCAATGTTACATAATAGGAAATGGGTTAATAATTAGAAAAAATATAGACACTGAAATAACATTTATAAAAGTTTTAAAATTATGTAATAAGTGTCTACGGTCCAATTATCTGAACACTTTGTTATTCTTATCACACCTTTCATCACACTACCAATTTGTACTTTTCACTTATTATGTTTATTTATGTAGTCTATTCCATTGTTATCATTGACTCATAAACTACCTTAATTGGTTTAATAACTTCATATATGCATATAAATACATTACTGTATATTAGAGTAAAGCCTGATGAGGATCTAATCGAAAACAATATTGTTCTAAATCACAATATAGGAATTTTTCAAATATAATAATAACCATATAAACGTCAGGCAGATTGTAATAATGCAACTCGTCTAGTTTGAGAGGTATCATATAAGCATTTGACGACTGTTGACTACCCATATAGTCAAATAACTGAAAGAGATTTTAAGTAAGTGTATAGGAATCTGAAAAACTTATTTCGTGGACGAGATTTGGAAGAGGATTAAAGACTTAACGAGTATCAGAATGGGTTTTGTGGAGAGTTTTAGAAATTTTCACAGGTTGAAATCATGAGTCAGTTGAAGCTAGACCACCATTGAAAACCTGGAAGCACTGGACGACCGTTTCGTCCTGGTATGGGACTCCTCAGCAGTGCGCATCCACGACCCCGCACCACGCGGGGCTCGAACCCAGGACCTACTGGCTTCGCGCGCGAGCACTTAACCACTAGACCACTGAGCCGGCATCCAACGGTGTTAATGTCTAACTTCAACCAATCCACGAAGTTGCGCCACCGTACACCATGATCATACGTATAGGTTAAGCGTATGATAAAACCCCCCATCTAAGGTATTTGATACTAGGTATTTTTGAATATACAAAAAGTACTAGAGGCAGTTGGCAAGAAAGTTCGGTAATTAAAAAGCAATGATCATATGAACATATACTAGGGACGGTGAGTTAAGAGGCATTATTTTGGTTTTTAGTTCTTAGTGCATATTTCGATGAATTAACGCCCGCTTATACGGATATGGGCAAGTGATAATAAACTGAGTGTTGACTTCAATCTAAGCTTGAGGAAGAACCTGGTTTATTCAGATGTTCATATCACAGCAAGTCTGAAGGCCATCCACCTTCTATACATTCTAGATGCGAACAACTAGAAAGCATAACAATAACTTTCTACTTGTTCTAAGTTTCCCATTAAATCATGCACAACGAGATGTTTAAGCACAAAAAAACAGAGTGTGATATATACGAGAAATGTGAAGAAATTCTATATAAGGTTAATATGAACCACAATGGTTGAGTGAAATTTGCGTTAACTGTAGTACATTCACAGAACACTAATATTCGTTTTTTCTTCATCCTCGTTTCCATCTCCGATTCTGGAATCCTATTCTTCCACCGTTTTGCTTCTAGCTTGGCTTCTTTGTAGATAACGACCTATAGAACATTAGGTTTTCTTTATACAATTAGATGTCCATTTGTCAATTGACTTCGCACAGTATATGCTATTACATATGATTTTCTTATATCCCAATTCGGAAGTTTTTATCGCTTATTCCGTTATTTAAGCATTAGTTTCAGGCAATGCAATTTTATCAATAGACATAAGTTATAATCTCCTTCTTACATTTATGACCCAGCTATTGCTATTACTTAGTATTCTTGGACACCAAATCACTCGACAAGACCCCAAATCAGAACACGGTCGAACAGAAAGGAGATCATATTCCAAATAACAAGGTTAGATGGAAGTAAGATGCAATTAAGAAGCACAATAGAGAAAACGTTAGAATATTTATGGTTTTTACATGAGAAGATTCTAGAGTATTCTCCGATTATC